CTAGAATGTGAACAAAAGCTGAACCATGATAGTATGTACTGGTATAAGCAGGACTCCAAGAAATTGCTGAAGGTTATGTTTAGCTACAATAATAAGGTACTCATTGAAAATGAAATGGTGCCAAGTTATTTCTCACCGGACTCTCCCGACAAAGCTCATTTACCTTCACAGCAACTCCCTGGAGCCAGGCGACTCTGCCGTGTATTTTTGTGCCAGCAGCTATGACACAGCCCTGCAGCGTCACTTCCTGCTCGTGCACAAAGCCCCTGGCCTAGGCGGGAAACTGTGGGACTCTGCGTTCACCCAACCCAAGGCTCCCCGAGAGTTTCAATCTGCAGGGCAGCCTGGAGCACACACACAGAAGCCGTACAGAATTCTACTTCTCAGCTGGAGCAGAGAAGCAGAATTAAATTCTCTAGAATACTCAGGACTCCACAAACAAGAAAGGACCCTGTCCCATGCCCTGAAGATCTTAACTGAAGAGAGAAGGCATTCCTTGCCTTCCTCTGCTATACATATTGTAGATCACATTGTTTCAGACTGAAAACACACTATTTGCAAAGAATGCTTGATGAGCAAAAGTCAAAAGGAAGATGAGGTGAAGGTAAAAGTTTCTAAGACCAAAAGGAAATTCAGATTATCAGTGAGTTCACTGTTTAATGGAAAAAATATTTGGAGAAGCAGGAAAGTCCATGGTGACAGGTGTACGGTCAGGCCACTTAAGATGGCTGTTCTCCTGTTCTCTGCACAGCCTCTGCTTGGCCAGGCCGTGCTTCATTCACATGACTCTCCAATCCTCCTAATTATAGCGCTTGGTCCCTGTAACTGACGTGCCCACCTGACATCAATTCCCCTATAAATGGTAACCTCCTCCCCGAGTGGATAAGACTGCTGCCATGTCCTGTCTATGTGCGATGGGGTGTTGTTCCAGCACCCTTTGGGTATGATCTCCTGTCCAGTAAACCACTGATGTCTCTGTCACTGTCTCTGGACTCATTCTTTGCTGTCCTGGACAACCACAGGGCTTGCAGGCCTGCAGGGTGCAGCCCAACAACAGGTGAACTAGAAAGGGTGAGGCAGGAGCACCAGCCGAGGTAGACTTTGTTGTCCACTGCAGACTTCTTTCCTCCAAGGAGGAGCACAGTGCCGTTCATTCCATTTCTGATTGTCATATTTGAAGCCTCCTGGAGATCAGGCAGTACCCAGATGATGCAGGATATTAGGGACATGGAAAGGACTTTCACCACTAAAATCTCTTGGCAGGAGCTAGACAGTGGTCCTACCTTAAGTGAGATAACATGATCAATATATTTGGTATAGGAACGCTGTTAGCAGTATGCATCAGAAGGGAGATAGAGTCCGGTTGGGATGTACCATTAGAAGACTACTAAAATATTCTGCTTTAAAGATTATGAAGGGGATGCTGAGGGGTCTCGTGGATGATATAGAGGAGAGGCTCTGGTTTTATCCTGGCAGGTCTGATTGTGGCATTTGCTAGGAGCAAATACTCTTAGGGGCTTCCCAGGTGGTGTTAGTGGTAAAGAATCCACCTGCCAATGCAGAAGACCTCAGAGTCATGGGTTAGATTGCTGGGTTGGGAAGATCCCCTGGAGGAGGGCATGGCAACCCACTTCAGTATTCTTGCCTGGAGAATCCCATGGACAGGGGAGCCTGGCAGGCTATAGTCCATGGGGTGGCAAAGAGTCAGACACGACTGAAGTGACTTAGCACACACACACACACACACACACACACAATCCTCTTAGGGAGCCCTAGCATGCGGGCTCGTTATTACTAGTGCTTGGCCCTCCTAGGGTCTCCGTGGGATTCACAGCTTGTTCACCAAGGTCTCTCTCTCTCTAACTGGGACGGGCCCCTGTCTCCAAGGAGGAGCACAGTGCCGTTCATTCCATTTCTGATTGTCATATTTGAAGCCTCCTGGAGATCAGGCAGTACCCAGATGATGCAGGATATTAGGGACATGGAAAGGACTTTCACCACTAAAATCTCTTGGCAGGAGCTAGACAGTGGTCCTACCTTAAGTGAGATAACATGATCAATATATTTGGTATAGGAACGCTGTTAGCAGTATGCATCAGAAGGGAGATAGAGTCCGGTTGGGATGTACCATTAGAAGACTACCAAAATATTCTGCTTTAAAGATTATGAAGGGGATGCTGAGGGGTCTCATGGATGATATAGAGGAGAGGCTCTGGTTTTATCCTGGCAGGTCTGATTGTGGCATTTGCTAGGAGCAAATACTCTTAGGGGCTTCCCAGGTGGTGTTAGTGGTAAAGAATCCACCTGCCAATGCAGAAGACCTCAGAGTCATGGGTTAGATTGCTGGGTTGGGAAGATCCCCTGGAGGAGGGCATGGCAACCCACTTCAGTATTCTTGCCTGGAGAATCCCATGGACAGGGGAGCCTGGCAGGCTATAGTCCATGGGGTGGCAAAGAGTCAGACACGACTGAAGTGACTTAGCACACACACACACACACAATCCTCTTAGGGAGCCCTAGCATGCGGGCTCGTTATTACTAGTGCTTGGCCCTCCTAGGGTCTCCGTGGGATTCACAGCTTGTTCACCAAGGTCTCTCTCTCTCTAACTGGGACGGGCCCCTGTCCAGCTAGTTAGGGCCCAGTTAGTCCAGCTGAGTGTCTTCAAACAGCAACAACACAGAGTGACTCACCTTGGGTCATCTAAGCTAGTCCCAGGTTGGAAAGCTGGCTGGACAATGAATGGGCCTGGTTTGGTGTCTAGCACGTCAGCCATGCACAGGGCTTTGGAGATCATTTCAGCTCAGTTCTTATAACAGCTGAGGAAATATGCTACCATATTCATGAAGTGATTTAAGTACTGAAATACAGGACACATTTCTCAAACTTCATGTAAGACACGTTTGAGTCCCTAGTGGTTGTCTGTGACTAAGCGGAAGTGTGTGTGTGTGTGTTAGTTGTTCAATCATGTGCAACTCTTTGTGACCCCACAGACTGAAGCCCACCAGGCTCCTTCGTCCATGAATTCTCCAGGCCCAGAATACTGGAGTGGCTTATCATGCCCTTCTCCAGGGGATCTTTCCCATGCAGGGATCGAACCCGGGTCTCCTGCATTGAAGGCAGATTCTTCACCATCTGAGCCACCGGCATAATTACCCCGTCACAATAAAATTCCAGGGGTGAACCTGTTGATGTTTTGTGCTTGCTCCTAGCTGTTGCTCAGTGAGTATTCATTGAACAAATCAAGATGGTCTATAAGCTCTGAAAGTGAAAAGTGAAAGTGAAGTAACTCAGTCGTGTCCGACTCTTTGTGACCCCGTGGCCTGTAGCCTACCATGCTCCTCCATCCATGGGATTTTCCAGGCGAGAATACTGGAGTGAGTTGCCATTTCCTTCTCCAGGGGATCTTCCCGACCCAGGGATTGAACCCCGATCTCCCGCACTGTAGGCAGCTACTTTGCCGTCTGAGCCTTCGGGGACGATTATAAGCTTTCCAGGGACCTGGGTAGTAGCTGTAGGTCTGCGTTTTGTTCACACCTAGGAATCCAGACACAACCGATCTCTGTTGGGTAAAAACTGGAATGCCCTAGTTACGCGGATGGATGGTACTGTTGCCAACTGTTTTGGTTGTTTCAGGTGCTTCTTTCTTCTTCGTGATTCCCTGGAGCCTTGTATCTCTCACGGAAGCTCCGGGTCTGTGGAACCGGTGATAGACCTGGGCTGCTCATGCTGTGGGGTGAGAGGCCTGCGATCTGGAGAATGTGCTGCTCTGGCCACAGGGAGGCGCTCTGGCTCCGCGGAAACGCCGAGGCTGGTGGGGGAGGGGCCGAGAGGGGCTGGTGCGGAAGGGAGCAGGGCGTTGGACTTCCATACTTGTGTAAGTTGGGTGATTTGCAGACTTCTCAAAGACACTGAAGTAATTTTCAAACTGAGATCCATTTGCCTTGTGTTGTTTTCTTGCGGCAACCTGTTTGCTTTAAGCCTAGTCAAGCCCTGTACCCTCAATACAGGCACAAGTGAAACTGAAAGTCGCTCAGTCGCATCGGACTCTTGGCGACCCCATAGACTATATAGTCCATGGAATTCTCCAGGCCAGAATACTGGCGTGGGTAGCCTTTCCCTTCTCCAGGGGATCTTCCCAACCCAGGGATCCAACCCGGGTCTCCCACATTGCAGGCGGATTCTTTATCAGCTGAGCCACAAGGGAAGCCCCGTAACAGGCACAGAGAATGGCTTATCTCTTGTATGGTCTTCTCAGCACTCTTCGCAGGGTCTGGCTCCTGGCTGGCATCACAGTCGTGCCTTTTAATGATGGGCACTGGTCCAGAACAGGACTATGACCTTCCAGGTGTCCTCCCTCCACACATTTGGGCAAAGGAGCTCCAGGGAGCTTGTTGTTCACTCGGTGGTGTCCGACTCTTTGCGACCCCATGGACTGCAGCATGCCGGGCTTCCCTGTCCTTCACGATCTCCCGGAGTCTGTTTGAATTCATGTTCCGAGTCGGTGATGCCATCCAACCACCTCATCCTCTGTCATCCCCTTCTCCTCCCACCTTCAGTCTCTCCCAGCATCAGGGTGTTTTCCAGTGAGTTAGATCTTCACATCAGGTGGCCAAAGTATTGGAGCTTAGACACGGAGAGAAATGGTGTTTTGAGTGTTGTCCTGCCTAACTGAACAGAGAAGGAGATGTCTTGAAGGGGTATAGTCTGTCTGAGAGGGGCTCTTGGAAGGGAGCAGGACGGGGGAGAATCTACATAATGAGGAGAGCAGCTAACAGCAAAATCGCTCACTGTCAAAGGACTACCCCAGCCCAACAGACTCAAATCTACCTGCTATCAGAATCTATATAAGGCATGAAATGGGAAGAGGAAACATCCTTGGGGCTGGGAAACTGACAGGGACACTGACGTCAGAGACAAAACCGCCAACCAAGGCTGAGGAGGCCAGAGCCCACCCACCCCGCCCCCAACACACACCCAGAGCATCCACCTTGATCCTGACTCCACCATGGACTTCGGGCAGCTCTGCTGTGTGGTCCTCTGTCTCCTGGGCATAGGTGAGTCTTGAGTTCACACAGGCTGCCCCCAGACCCCGAACCATTTCCCTGTGGCTGCAGCAACACCTTCCCCTCTGGCCTTTGTCTGAATTCTGTCCTTTTCTCCCAGCCATCTCTGCAGACCCTGGGATCACTCAGATACCAAAATACCTAGTCATGGGAATGATGGACAAGAAATCTTTGAAATGTGAACAACATCTAGGACATAATGCTATGTACTGGTATAAACAGAGTGCCCAGAAGCCGCCAGAGCTCATGTTCATCTACAACTACAAGGAACTCGCTGAAAATGCGAGTGTTCCAAGTCGCTTCCAGCCTAGATGCCCAGAGAGTTCCCAGTGCCTCCTGGACCTGAACGCCCCGAAACCACAGGACGCTGCCGTGTACCTCTGCGCCAGCAGTAGAGACACAGCCCTGCAGAGTCAATTCCTTCCTGTGCACAAACCTCCAGGCTGCAGGCAGGAAGCCGTGGGGCCATCCAAGTCTTGGTTTAGCATTTCCCATCAGACCACAGCCCGGCCTGTGGGGTCACATGGCATGGCAGTGGAGAGTTTCTTCACAACAGTGTGTGCTGGGCTCGTCCTGGGAAAGACTGTGCCAAGCCAATCAAGTTTAAGCAGGTTCTTGATCTTCTTTTCCCAATTGCTTTGATCCTCTGGGAACCCTTTCATGAGACCCTTGACCCTCTGACCACAGCAGTCCTACTCATCTTCCTTTTCAAAGTTGCCTTTTTCTCTGACTTCCCCTTCCATCCAAGCTAGACCCTGGATCTCAGCCCAGATCCCAGCTCCAAATATGCTCAGACCTTCTTCAAAACACCTCATTCTCCAGGGTCTCTGTCTGTTCCTGCCCTTGAGGGCCACGGATCCCTGATCCTGCTGGGATCGCTATTCTCCAGTTCACCCTCCTGGCTGCTCATTCAAGGGCTCAGCCCTTCACTGGCTTCTCTTCCACTCCAGCCTTAACCCTTCAGGCTTGATTCCTTTTTTCTTCCGTCTCTTCAGGTCTTCACACCCTGCTATATCAGCCAGAGTCTGATATCCTTGGATCATTGCTCACAACAGCCAGTGAGAAGCGGCGGCCTCCTGCGTTTCAGAGCAGGACTTTGAGTTCAGGGTTGTCTTTGCTGAACCTCGTATCTTCCAGCCCCGGGGTTGCACACACCCGCCACTCAGGGCTGGCAGAGAGCCCTGCGTCCTGGAGGGTGAGCTGTCTGCCATCTTTACAAAGGCTCCCTTCTCTCCCCTGCAGAGGGTCCTCTAGGGATGGGGACCTCTGACAGAGCCCCGAACCATAACACCTCTGGCCAAGTCGATCCACACAGGGATTCTATTCTATGTCTTTAGAGTGTACGGATTTTTTTTTTTTTAAAGCTGAGTGTGACAATGCCCTGGCAAATGGTTAAAAGATAAACACATCCCCACCTAGTATTTTAATGCCTTGCTTATTGTGAAATAAACAAGTCTGCTGTAAAGTGGATGGTTGGGCTTCAGGTTTCACAGGGATCCTCTAAACAAACACCAGCACCCCTGGGATCCTCTAAACAAATGCCAGCATCCCAGGACTCAGGCCCTACATGGGCCCAGAGGATAAGAAGGATGCCGCTGCCCTATGGGGGGGTGCATGGCTGGGAGCTCAGCAGGTGCCTGGCTTCTGTGCCTCTCCTTTTCAGGAACCCCTGCAGCCAAGGTTGTGGTCACCCACGGCTGAGCAGCACGGAGCTTTGGGAATCAGAGAAGGACTCCCAAGCAAAGGTCCCAGGGCTGGAGTCCCCGCAAAGGACAGCAAGAGACCCAGGCTTTGGGAAGCAGGTATGAGAAATGTGTCCTCTGTCTTCACCAGTTCTCTTATCCTGTAATCCAGCTCATCTGTTCTCTGATTTGTCCTGTTCCCACTCAAGGCTAGACCCTGAGCCCCACCATGATCAAAGTCCCACATCTGCACAGGCCCTTGCTCTCAGCCCCTCAGGAAGCCAGCAGGCCCCTGCCTCTCTCAGCTGAGGGTCAGTGTGCTGGGCTGAGTGCTTACCTTCTCACCCACTCTCCCTCCCTCTCACTGAAATGTCCTTCTAGGCTTCCGGTCTCAACTTCTCACTGCATTTCCTCTCCACAGTGACACTTGTAAGGTTATTCTTTTTGTCTTGTTTCCGTTGGTCTCTTGATTCCCCATGTTTTCATCATCAGGCTCAGAACTATGACACACAGGCTTCATGCCCCCAGACTGTGGCTCTGAATTGGCCGTTGGAGGGGAGTGGATCCCACCCGTTTGTTGGGACCTTCACGCCTGGCCCAGGTGTCCTGAAGCCTGTATTCTCCCAGGGTCCATCTGCATCTCGGGGGCTGGGAGTCTGCACCCCTCAGGACACACAAGGGCCAGTCCTAAGAGCATCACATGTCCATGGACACTAAGGCTCCCTCATGTGGGGGCACTCCTGAATCTGTGGGTGCTGCCCAGGACTGTGATGTCATCACAGGATCTCCTTCCTGGGGCTGCTAAGGACCAGATGCCCAACTGGGAGAGGCTTCAGCTCTGCCAGACCCTGCCATGGACAGCAGGCTCTTGTGCTGGGCGATCCTTGGTCTCCTGGGAGTAAGTGCGTCCTGGGGGTGTGTGGGAAACTCCTATCCTGTTCCCTTGACCCAAAGCCAGTTACACACCTTTGCCTCATTCTCTGGCCCTGTGCCCTCCCACAGGACACTTGGTACCTGGTGTCAGCCAGAACCCTTGCTACTACATCACAGAGATGGGATGGGATGTGACCCTGCGGTGTGACCCCATGCCTGGTCCTCTGTACCACAGTGGTACCGACAGAAAGGGCATGGAGTTTCTGATGTCCATCTACAACAAAGAACTTTCAGAAAAGGCACACTTTTTGGAGGATTGCTTCTCAGCTGAGATGCCCAACAGTGTGTAGCTCACTCTGAAGATGCAACCCACACAACTGGGTGACTCGGCCGTGTTCCTCTGTGCCAACAGTTCACCCACAGCCTCGCAGAGATGCTTTCTGCCCTTTCACAAACTCCACAGCGTCTCCATACTCTGCTCAAGGCTGGGGTGGGTGGGGGTGGGGATTTGGGAGGCTGAAGCTGCTTTCCACTTGCACAGGTCAAAATCAGCTTTAGTTTGCAGAAGAAGAAATGTTGCACAGGACATCTGGGACTGTGGTATTCAGGAAAGGCTCCCAGGCACCACAGAATGTGGCCATGGCCCCCAACAATGGGACCGACCTGGCCAATGAGTGACCTGGGGAGCCTACAGAGCAACCTCTGTATTCTCTTAAGCTCTCTGTTTGTGTTATTTCCTGTTTTGCAAAACATGCCTTCCTTCGGTCTTTGAGTTACTGCTAAGTCACTTCAGTCGTGTCTGACTCTGTGCAACCCCATCCTTGGGATTCTCCAGGCAAGAACACTGGAGTGAGTTGCCATTTCCTTCTCCAATGCATAAACGTGAAAAGTGAAAGTGAAGTCGCTCAGTCATGTCCAACTCCTCGCGACCCCATGGACTGCAGCCTACCAGGCTCCTCTGTCCATGGGATTTTCCAGGCAAGAGTCCTGGAGTGGGGTGCCATTGCCTTCTCTTTGAGTGGAGACTGGCTTACTGGAGAGGAGAGGGGAGACTCACAAGGGAATACCCAGGAACCTCCAACTGGGAACTTTCCAGAAGACAAAGGATCTAAACAGCACAGCTGAGTACTGGTGGGAAAAGAATGTTCTGGGACAGAAGGCAGACAAGGCCGAAGCACCTCGGGACCTGCCGGCCAGCATAGGGAGTTTCTTTGGCCCTGTGTATGTGACTTCATGAGCTTGCTGGGATCCAGGCCAACAAGAATGTCACCACAGAGGACAGGCTAGGCAAGAGCAAACACGCACAGAGCATCCCATGCCCAGAGCTGCTTGCTCTGAGCCTGATGGGTGAAGACAGGACTGACTTCTAGGAGGCCAAGACCTGAGGGTTCCTGAACAATGGCCTGGAGAGATTGAAAGTTTGTGGCTGTGCACCATGAGCTATGCTGGGATTCATGACCTCCGGAGGAGAGGATTTTGATCCGGGGCCAGAGTTGATGCTTGATCACTTGAAGCTTTTGTGTAATAAAGTTTTATTAAAGTATAAAATGGATAGAGGAAGTTTCTGATGTAGACATTAGAAACGGGCAGAAAGAGTTCCCCCCCTTGCTAGTTTTTAGCAAGGAGTTAAATATCTGCTGGGGCTTCCCTTGTGGCTTAGCTGGTAAAGAATCTGTCTGCAATGCAAGAGACCTGGGTTTGATCCATAGATTGCGAAGATCCCCTATAGAAGGGAAAAGCTACCCACTCCAGTATTCTGACCTGGAGAATTCCATGGACTGTATAGTCCATGAGGTCGCAAAGAGTCCGACACGACTGAGCGACTTTTACTTTCCACTTTCCTTTTCTATATATCTGCCAGCAAGTTGCCAATCAAATAAAGAATCACCTCAAAACTATAAGAGTTGCATCAGGCCCCTCTCCCACAACATGCATTTTGAGATAGCATTGGCACAAGGTGAGTCATCCCAGGCCATAAAACAATTGACATAAATCTTAAAGAAAGGCAGATTTCCAAGCAAATATACAGTTTCATTGACAGAGCTTAAGAGAACATTTCCATGAGTAAGAGGTACTGGTTTGTTGAGCCACTATGCGTTCAAGGTTTGAGTGTTAGGGGGAACCAGTTTGAAGAAAGGCAGATTCTAAGGCAAATGCAGAGTTCATTAACATAGCTTAAGAGAAACATTTCCATAAGAAAAATGCACTGGTTAGCTCAAGGTTTGAGAAAAGCTAAGTTCAGGCAGAACCAGGTGTTGTCATGACACACAGAATTTAAAAGAAACCTTTTAATTTTGTATAGAGAAGGGGGAAAAAAAGTCTGCCACTTGCAGTTCATTTCCTCCACTTGGGGACTCCTGGCCTTCTACCTGTTATCCTCTCAAGATGATGCAGAGAATGCTTCAGAAGGGAGAGACTGGATGTCCCACTAATCAGGCAGGTAGACCCCAAGTATTCAGTTGTGAAATAAATTGGTGTTGGTATGCTAGTGAATTGAGTATTTTGTATTGGTGGTGGTGGATTAGTCACTAAGTCATATCCAACTCCTACAATCCATGAACTGTAGCCCACAAGGCCCCTCTGTCCATGGGATTCCCCAGGCAAGAATACTGGAGCGGGTTGCCATTTCCTTCTCTAGGGGATCTTCCTGACCCAGGGATCACACCTGCATCTCCTACATTGTGGGTGAATTCTTTACCACTGCACCACCAGGAAAGCCCTGTATTTTGTATTGGTTTCACACTTTTCTTTCTTTCTCCCTCCTCCCCTCCCTTCCTTCCTTCCTTCAAAAGGTTCCTCACCCTAAGGTATGAAAAGTATGCCTAGTGCATCACCGGGTCACATATGATGAGGGGTCAACCAACCCTAAAGACCTCTGCTTCATGTTATAAATTACCAGTTCCTGTAGAAAAGGTATGCTGGGGCTACTAAGACAGAAACACCATAGAGAGAACATGTGAAATGAGGAGATGCATAGTCTCATATGTCTAGGGGAATGAAAGTGGTGCTGTTAATAATTACCCTTGAACATCAAAGTGAGACATACATTTATTCCACCTGTGTTCCACACCTGGGCTTCATCTCAGAGTCCTGAGCAGGAAGCGGCTTCAGGCTTGTGAAGACAGCTGTGAGGAGTAAGAGAAATGTCAGCTAAGAGTGGTGGTCATGGTGAAGAAGGAATTCATAGGGCCTGGACTCCATCTCAGGCCTGTCCGTGCTGGTCGTGCATGGCCACCTCTCCGGTGGACTTTGAACTCTGTGCTTAGCGCCTGTGGGAATGACAATGGAAGGATAAGACCCACTCTGGGCAGGGGAATCTTGAAGATCACATCCAGGTTACTCATTGCCTAAGAGAAAACAGACACTAATCACCCCTGCCTCCGGACAGTATCTATCTGAACGTAACCACAAGCTTATCGGTTATTAACTGGTTGGAATGTAACCGCGGGCTTATTGATTATTAAGTTTGAACACATAACACATGAATGATGGGGTTATTGTGATTGTATTTACCCTTCCTTTGTAAGCCTCAAGGGATTTGGGGTGGTGGGTTTGGACACGTACACATGGGGTATAAAAGATTTTCACAAATGCTGGTCAGGGTCCTTGGCTAAGAGGAGACTCTGCCTTGGGCCCGCTGGTGTAATAATCTGCACTCCACTACCTGCATTGTCCTTCTTAGTGAGTTTGTTTCCTGGAAAGCGTGGCTATAACAACGGCAGCTTCTGGGACTTTGCTGGGGGATTTTCCTGACAGTATGACCACGAATAAAGGAGCACTGACCTCACTTCCCTGAGGGGCCACTAACGGCTGAACCCACCACAGAGCCCTACACTTGTAATTACACAAGTAAAGAACAGGATAGTGGTAAATTGTGGCAAGCAGCCCCAGTAACAACCTAGGGAGGTGGGATGGGGAGGGAGGTGGGAGGGATGTTCAAGTAGGAGGGAACATGAGTGAACCTATGTCTGATTCATGTTGATGTTTAGTAGAAACCAACACAATACTGTAAAGCAGTTATCCTTCAATTAAAACTAAAAAAATTTAAAAAATTCACAACCTAAAAGTTGAGAGTTATGTTTTATTCCGGGGGGGGGGGGAGGGGATTTTTAGGACTTCAAGCCAAGGAGGCAGCATCTCAAGTAACTCTGAGAGAACCGCACCAAGGAGTGTGGGGAGGGACCAGATTACATAGAAGTTTTGCAACAAAGGGAGGTGGTCTGAACATCAAAAGATTATTGTCAATTGAAAAGAAAACAAGCCATCCCAAGTGAAGGAATTTACTGCTTTTCTAACTGTGGGGAGACTAGAGAGACTAGTCTAAGAGACTAGAGATCTCTTCAAGAAAATTAGAGATACCAAGGGAACATCTCATGCAAAGATGGCCTCCATAAAGGACAGAAATGGTATGGACCTAACAGAAGCAGAAGATATTAAGAAAAGGTAGCAAGAATACACAGAATAACTGAACAAAAAAGATTTTCACGACCCAAATAATCACAATGGTGTGATCACTCATCTAGAGCCAGACATCCTGGAATGTGAAGTCAAGTGGGCCTTTGGAAGCATCACTACAAACAAAGCTAGTGGAGGTGATGGAATTCCAGTTGAGCTATTT